CATCATTCAATCGATACAGTCGTTTTGTGGAGGCTTTATCACGTCGATTTGCCTTTTGTTTGACCAGTCTGTATTTTGATGATGCTCACTTGACAGACCGCAAATCGTGCCGGGGATCAGGTCAGAGAGCTTTGCAGACTCTCAACACCCTTTTGGGTACACCATTTTCCGAGGAGAAATGTCAGAAGATGCAGAGTACCGGCACATTTTTGGGCCTGGATCATGACTTCAGTCAAGTCTATTTGAAGGGTCTGGTTCAGTTTTGGGCCCGTGAACGCATCGAGACCAAGCTGCTTCATCTCATGCAAACTGCCGAGGAATCCGGCAAACTGCAACCAGGGGTGGCAGCCAAGCTCTACGGTATCGCCAACTTCTTTGAGCTTGGCGTGTGGGGGCGTATTGGCTGCGGTGGCTTGGCCCCAATCAAGCACAGGCAGCAGGAGCGCTCTTCAGAGTTAACTGAGGAGTTGCGCCAGAGCTTTGACCTGCTACGCACTGTCATCACCACCCGTCCCTCTCGCCACATTGAGATCTGGCCACATGCAGGGCTCCGCTTCCTCGCTGCTTCGGATGCTGCGTTGGAGAGCCCAGGTCAGGGGACTGGGGGCTTTTTGGTGGTGTGGCATGACGATCACAGGCAACACCGGGAAGCATTTGTTTCTCTCATTCCCCCATTGGTGTACAGCCTATGGGAGCCTGGTGACAAGAAGATTGCCCAGTTAGAGCTGCTGCAAGTGCTCTATGCCTTGTTTTCTCGGCCGGCCAGATTTCGAGGCAGACGAGGGCTCTGGTTCATCGATAACACGGCAGCGTTGATGGCATTGATCCGAGGTCGTTCTGACAATGCAGATTTAGAGCATATGTCACGGTTGATCCATATTACTCTTTTTGGTCTTAGGGCTTGGTTTTTCTGGGAGTGGATCCCTAGCAAGGCCAACTGGTCTGATGAGATCAGCCGTGAAGGCCTCCAGGCAACATGGCACAAACGCCATGGGTTCACCACGCATTTTGCATTTTTCCCCTTCGAGATTTGGTCTCTACCACTTCCCGCGTTTCTCCGGGTTGTGGAGTTTCTCTGAGTGCTTTGGGATGAAGTGCATTGGGAGAGATTCAACCTGTGTAGCCTCCTGAGTTTACAGGAGCGCGGAACAGGGTGTACGGATCCAACCAGTGCTGCTGTGCAGGAGACTACCTGCACAGCGTTCCAAAGCACTATCCTGCGAGGAGCAGGTTGAGACCGCACGAAGAGTTTGGGAAGAAAAAGCCATGCGGATGTGAGCCTGGACACAGTGAACCGTTTAAGTGTATATGCTTTACATCTCACAACTAATGTATGTATGCATCGTGTTTGGCAGGCACTGGGTGTGCATTATCATTAGGGTGAGTATGTAAGCTGATGAATCCATTTTGGCTCAAGTCTGAGCCAAACTGGCTTCATCGTTCTTTCTTTTCCCTCCCTTCCCTCCCTATGAGGTAGGACTCCGGTGGAGTATCCTCCCTTGTAGGGGATCACATCATTGAGGATGCTGATCTCTACGTGGAGTTCCACGACTGTAGCACTGGGCGGGAGAGATTCAACCTGTGTAGCCTCCTGAGTTTACAGGAGCGCGGAACAGGGTGTACGGATCCAACCAGTGCTGCTGTGCAGGAGACTACCTGCACAGCGTTCCAAAGCACTATCCTGCGAGGAGCAGGTTGAGACCGCACGAAGAGTTTGGGAAGAAAAAGCCATGCGGATGTGAGCCTGGACACAGTGAACCGTTTAAGTATATATGCTTTACATCTCACAACTAATGTAAAAATGTTTTTGCACGAAAAAGGTGCATGTTAAAATGATATGAAAACAGTTTCTTTACAATTTTTTGGTTTTGCTTAATGGACCGGTAAAGAACGCTTTGTTTTGCTTAATGGACCGGTACCAGAATTTTTGCGTTTGGTTCATAGCAAGGAACTGCCGGTTCCCAAAGGTTGGAACTCACTGTTGCCAACGTGGGAAAGGTTACCATTGCAAGGAACTGCCGGTTCCCAGAGGTTGGAACTCCTGGTTCCCAACCTGGGAACCAGAGGTTACCGTTGCAAGCAACTGCCGGTTCCCACCTGGGAACCACAGGTTACCATTGCAAAGAACTTCCAGTTCCTAAAGGTTGGAACTGATGGTTCCCAACGTGGGAACCAAAGGTTACCATGGCAAGGAACTGCCGGTTCCCAGACCTTGAAACTTACGGTTCCCAACCTGGGAACCAGAGGTTACCATTGCAAGGAATTGCCGGTTCCCAGAAGTTAGAATTTATGTTTTCGAAGCTAAGCGGCTTTCATTGTAAGGAACTGCGGGTTCCCAAAGCTTGAAACTCATGGTTCCAAGCCTGAAAAAGTAACGTTACCAGTGGAAGGATCTGTTGATTGCAAAAAGTTAGAACTCATGGTTCTTAATGTTGTTTTGTTTTGTTTACTGAGCCGGTAACAGAACCTTTTGTTTTGCTTAATGGACCGGTAGCGGAATGTTTGCGTTTGGCTGTTGGGCCGGCATAAAAATGTTTATTGCACGAAAAAGGTGCATGTCAAAATGATATGAAAACAGTTTCTTTACAATTTTATGGTTTTGCTTAATGGACCGGTACAGAACGCTTTGTTTTGCTTAATGGACCGGTACCGGAATGTTTGCGTTTGGTTCATGGCAAGGAACTGCCGGTTTCCAAAGGTTGGAACTCACGGTTGCCAACGTGGGAACCACAGGTTACCATTGCAAGGAACTGCCGGTTCCCAGAGGTTGGAACTCCTGGTTCCCAACCTGGGAATCCATGGGTTACCATTGCAAGCAACTGCCGGTTACCAGAACTCAGGTTACCATTGCAAGCAACTGCCGGTTACCAGAACTCATGCTTCCCAACCTGGGAACCATAGGTTACCATTGCAAAGAACTTCCGTTTCCTAAAGATTGGAACTGATGGTTCCCAACGTGGGAACCAAAGGTTACCATGGCAAGGAACTTCCGGTTCCCAGACCTTGAAACTTACGGTTCCCAACCTGGGAACCAGAGGTTACCATTGCAAGGAATTGCCGGTTCCCAGAGGTTAGAACTTATGTTTTCGAAGCTAAGCAACTATCATTGTAAGGAATTGCCGGTTGCGAAAGCTTGAAACTCATGGTTCCAAACCTGAAAAAGCATACGTTACCAGTGGAAGGATCTGTTGATTCCAAAAAGTTAGAACTCATGGTTCTTAATGTTGTTTTGTTTTGTTTACTGAGCCGGTAACAGAACCTTTTGTTTTGCTTAATGGACCGGTAGCGGAATGTTTGCGTTCGGCTGCTGGGCCGGCATAAAAATGTTTTGCACGAAAAAGGTGCATGTTAAAATGATACGAAAACAGTTTCTTTACAACTTTTTGGTTTTGCTTAATGGACCGGTACAGAACGCTTTGTTTTGCTTAATGGGCCGGTACCAGAATGTTTGCGTTTGGTTCATGGCAAGGAACTGCCGGGTCCCAAAGGCTGGAACTCACGCTTGCCAACGTTGAGAACCACAGGTTACCAGTGCAACGAACTGCCGGTTCCCACAGGTTGGAACGCATGGTGCCCAACCTGGGAACCAGAGGTTACCATTGCAAGCAACTGCCTGTTCCCAGAGGTTGGAACTCATGCTTCCCAACCTGGGAACCATAGGTTACCATTCCGACAAACATTCAATAAAAATTTGGACCAAAATTCCATTGTCCCCAAGCCAGCTCTAATCAAACCTTAAACCAACCCCAAATCAACCCTAGACCAACCTTAAACCGATTACCAAGAACCCCTTAATCCAACCCCTTAAGAAAACGATCTATCTGTGTATAATTGTGTATATATATATATGTATAAATAGATCAACAAATAAGTCCTAAAACCTTCACAAAGGAAACTGCACACACACTTTAAAATCAACCCCCAAGCCCCAAGCCAACTTTATATTTTGAACCAACATCAAAAAAAATCTAAAACGAATGCACGATAAATGGTTAACCCAACCCAAATCCAAACCTAAAAGACACATGAATTTTCGACAAATTCCGAATCAAACTCTGAACCGATTTTAGATAAAACTTTGCACCAACCTTAAGCCAACCAGCAAAAACCACCGACCCAACCCTGAATCAACCCTAAACCAAACCGAAAGAAAACTGAAATATATCTTAAACCAAACACTAACCACACCAGAAATAACGCCCGAAAAAAATGTTAAGTAAACATTTCACCAACATTAAATAAATCCAGAGTAAACCTTAAGCTAACACTAAGCCCACCCAAACTAAACCCCCAACCTTGAACATATCTTAAAAGATAAGAAACATTCCAAAATACCTTCGCCCAAGCCGGAACAAATCCTACAACAGCCCTGACACGATGCTATTTGAACCAACCCTACAACTAAGCGGACTCCTAGCTAAACCGCAAACTAACCCGAAACAACATATTGCACCAACACTAAATTCACGCCAAACAAACGCTACACAAACATCATTTATAAACCAACTTTAAACCGACCTGGACTATCTAACACAACCCACGATACCCATACCTTTAACCAACCCCAAGCAGACACCACAGCAGCCCCAACAACACTTCTTGCTGAAGCAACCCCAGATTGCTGCTAGCTCCAAAAAAATCCGATCCAAAATATTTGACTTACCATCAGTTTCTAACTCCAAAATGCTGCAATTACAGTAGGATTGCAAATACTGTCGAAATTGCAGTTTCGAGGCTTAACATGCTGTAAATAGCAAGGGAATTGATGCGGCATTGAGGGGAAAAAATCCCCGGGAAGGGTGAACAAAATCATTGGCGCAAACCGGGCCCTTTACTTTTTGACAGGTCAACCGACAACTAAACTAAACCCAAAGCAAGATGTTGGTTGACAGGACAGGATATTGATACGGTTTGATAATGTTTGATATGTATGTATATATACGGGACTTGCACTTTGACAACGTTTGCACTCTATCCTCTTTACAAAGCATGGCGGCAAGGTCAAGAGCCCAGATGAAAGTGCTTCGGAGTCAGGTCCAAAGGAGACGAAGGCTGGAAGGGTTTGCAGACCTCTTTCAGCCTCGCCGTAGAATGGATTGGATATTGTGTCATTGTCAAAGTTTGCATGAATTGAGAAGATGGGCTATTTGAAAAGATGGGCAGATGGGCAATTGCAGGAAGGAACTGGTGTGATCTCAGATGCGAAGGACTCCGATCAACAGCAAGCAAGTGAAGCTGACGCCGGTCCAGAGATTGTTCAGGCTGCAGCAGTAGGGCCCTGAGTTTGTCACACCCTGTTTGCTCGGCACAGACAGTTGAGCACTCTGCTGACGTTTTTTTGACTGATAGAGAGAAAAGCACTGGACAAGAGGATTCTGCACCAGTTTGCTATTTAGTTTGCGAACAAGCTTCCCAGGAACCGGAGCAAGACGCGGCGGCAAGCATAGTAGAGTCTGTCCTGGACGATGTGCAGGCCGCAACTCGTGCTTGATCATTGAGAGAGGCAGATTTGATGCGCAGCAATCATGTTCGGCAAAGTCTATTCTTTAAAGACCACTTTGCCAGAGTCATCGCCATGCATCCGATTGTGGCAAAGATCATCCCTTTTCCAAAGAGTTTTGGTTTGGGTGTATTGTTGTAGTCTTGAATGGAATTTTGGCGAAGTTTGCTTCTTCTTCAACAGAGCCCTTGAGGGGGAATCAACTTGCTGCTCTCGGGGTTAGGTCAGAACCAGTGTTTCTTTCATAATGACGATGATGCAGTTGAAATCCTGTCGTGTTCTGGGGATTTCTGGGGTGCAATGAAGAAAAGGCACCATGGTTCGAACATGTCCCAGCGGTTATTTATGGATATTTTTTGTTAGTTTTCGTCAAAAAGGGGTACCTACTGTAGATCTACTATATAGTACCGGCAAAAGGCCATAAAAGGCCCGCACTTTGCCCTTTTATTTTTGTCCTTGTGCGCCGCTTTATTTCGGCGCTTTGGAAAGTATCTGCTCGCGATGAGCACAACATACATATGTTTCCTTAAGAAGAGATCGCTTAATTTCCTTATGTTACCCTTCTTCATTTCCACAAAGATTCAGCCATAGTAGGCATCTTCACCACAAATCTCGGAGGAGACGCACGACGGAGCTATTTCGCAGTGTCATGACGTGTCATATATCCAGCCATGTACCATGAGATCCATTTCTTACCTCATGTTCCTATAATTTCTTGCAATTTCTTACCATTTCTTGTCCACTTTCAGGCTTCCGAGTTGCAACAAATAGCTGCAGAACCAAAGCCGGCTGCCCTGAAGGTTCCTCGGCTTCCAGAGATACGTGGCACACCAGCAGGATTAAATATGATTGAAGCATAATGAGTTGTGTTATAGTATATACATTATCCATATACATGTATAAAATAAAAATATGACATAAATAATATAAAACATATTATTTAATACATATGATATAATATATATTATAATATATATATATAACATTTCCCATATATCCTATATATCCCGCATATCTCATATCTGATATATAATATCTAATATAAAATATTTAATATATATATATAGTATATATAATGTACATATTAAACAATATATAATATAATATATATATATATATATATCGTATATATAATTAACTAATGTATATATAATATTATATATATAGTAAATATAATGTGTTTTTTAATATAATATAAAAATATAGCATATAATATACCATATATCATATAATATATACAATATATAATATATAATTTATATTATAAATTATATTTTATATATTATTTAACACATTTTAAATTCAACACTATTTTTCATAACATATTTTTCAAAATATATTATATCTATATAGTGTATAATATGTTTATTATATATATAGCATATATACATAATATCTATATAATATTTAAAGGGTATATGTTTAATATATTCAATATTTATATTTTTTATTTAATCAATAATATTAACTATTGTATAATAAATAATTTAATACCTATAATGTATATAATATAATGAATAATATTTATTTAATGTCATATATCATACAATATATATATAATGTATATTGTCTTTATCACGTATATATATATAATATATATATATATCATGTATAAATATGTATACTTTAAATCATATACGTAATTCATTTAATATGTATATAATTTAATATTTTTTACAATATATAAAAATATACATGTTTTATCATTCATTTATTATGTATATTTTTACTACATTATATATATGATATCATTTTTCAATACATATAGTATTAATATTTAAATGATACATACTATGTATAAAATGTAAATATAATTCATAATGTATACTATATAAGATTTATATGTTATTTCTATTTTACATAATATATATATATATTGTATATCACTTTTTAATATATGATATATTTTTGTGTAAATTATTTTGTAGATTGCATATATTAAATAGATTATTTAATGTATATATATACATTACATTTTATGTATTTAAAATATAATATAATATAATATAATATAACTTAATATAACATAACATATCATTATATATATATATGTTTTTTTTGGTGTATATCATTATATATGTATATAGCGGTATATAGTTGTCTTTCATGTTGTGGTCCTAGCTCGAAGTTGGGTTGCCACCTACTTGGTGCACTTGGGGGCCGTCTAGCACATTCCCAAGTTAGTAGCAACCCTAGAATTAATGGGACTCCTGTTTGTTTCAAACCTACAGCCTGCCCCGCCTGGCAATCTGATATATGGAAGTGTTCTGGATTACCGTACCAATTAATGCCTCAAATTAGTGCACAGTTATGTTCTCCACGTGTTGGAGGTCCCCCAAATTGGCACCAAGTGGTATCAACCCCAAACCGGACAAGATTCGGACCCACGTCATTGTTGGCCCGACAGATATGCGGTTCAAATTGGCACCCAGCCTCTAGCGGGTCAGTAACTCCGAGTTGGCCTCAGCCCTATCCAGTGTCCAAATACGTGTTGTAGGTTGCCTCTCAAAAGCTGCAGACATTTGCAGACTGCCAATCTAGCCCCCATACACACACTCTATATATATACACACACACTATTAACAATAATCATAATCACAATTTTTCACACAATGATAATCATCATAATAATCATACTAATCATGATATTCATAATAATCATAATAATCATAATAATCATAATAATCATAATAATCATAATAATTAGAATAATCATAATAATCATAATAGTCATAATAGTCATAATAGTCATAATCATAATCATAATCATAATCATAGTAGTCATAATCATAATCATAATCGTAATAGTCATAATCATAATCATACTTATAATAATCATAATATCATAATAATCATAAAATTCATAATAATCATAATGATTATGATTATGGTAATAATATTAAAAACAATAAGAACAATGATAAGAGAATAAGAATAGGAATAATATTAATAATAGTAATAGAAATAATCAATGAAAATGGATGTTTTTTTAATGGTTTTATTGGCTGAGGTAGCTTAGAGAGATAGATGAAGAGAAACTATTGCTCGAGAGACTGGAGATACGAAGGTCGCCAACAGAGGTCAGGAGGTCTGCTTCAAACTTTCTGCGCAGTGATGGTTACAGAAAATTAATGATGGAGCAGGGCCTGAGCAGGGGATGGAGGAATAAAGACCGACATTAATTAAACAAAAAGGAAAGATGGAGAGATAAGAAGAAGTAGAACTTGATGCCCTAGTCGTGATGCCTACGGATATGCTATCAGGCGGAAATGCTACAACTGGAGAGTTTCAATTTTGAAGGTGTTACGCGCAGGAAATTTGTTGTCTGCCCGGGTTATTTTTTTTTTTTGGCAGTGATGGCCATAGAAAAATACAGCTGGAACAGAGATGGATGAATAGAGAGAAGACTTGATAGATAAAGGAACATAGAGGATTAGAGTATGCATTTCTTAGATAGACAGGTAGATAGGAGGTAAACGGGAGATAATAGACGGAGGAGGTACATGGAGATACGCATAGATGGCGGCGATATGTGCGGTCTGCCAATGCATAAAATTGAATGCTCGCAGTCGTGATGCTTACGGGTTTGCTACACCTGGAGAACTCCAATTCGGAAGGTGTTGCGCGCAGGAAATTTGCTGTCTGCCGGGGTTCTCAACATTTTTTGTACCGTGATGGCCATAAAAAAATACCGCTGGAGCAGGAGATATCTGGCTTTGGTTCCCCCCTTCTCAGGTTTTTGTATGCTCACAGGGTGCGAAAACCACAGACCTAAACAACACACACAAAATTGCAGTCCTGCATGGATTTCCGTTGATTTCAGCCAAACGTCAGCACCCTATAGCGATATATATATATAATTATATATATAATTATATATATACATATATATACATATGTACTCACGATACACCAGCCTCAAATTGCAGCCAGGTCGCCCTCACCATCATGCAGGCTAGGTTCACACGTTGCCCACCATCATTCTTAAAAGGAAGTGGATCTGAACAGGTTTGTTCTGCAATATCGTCGTGAATGTTGGTTGAAGATAATGTCGGCGGCCCCAACCAACCTTGTTGATATTCTACGCGAAACACATATTTGGTCAAGACGTCTCCAGGCCCTGAAGGTTTTCCAGCCCACAATGGGGCTGAATAAGCTGAACACAGGGTTTGTCAAGAATCTGGCAGCCGCCAAACTGTTGCTCTCATCATGCATCATGTTGAAGGATTTCCAAAGAAGCACCTTAACAAAAAATACGCACGTCATCACATGTCAATCACTTTAAACTTTAAACCATTTTGGATCATTTTGAATCCGGTTCCTGAGGTTTTGCCTCAAAGTGAACCAGTTCAGCAAGATGAGGAGGAGGAAGAGGAGGGAGTCATGGAAGTCTGGGAGGCGCGCAGGGATGACCGGGACTTTTGTCAAAGCAACAGTCCATCAAGGAAGTAACAGGTAGCAAAGGTAGTTGATTGCAATTAAAAATTCTTGATACTTCTTGGTTGCCTGTCCGTGGTGTAAAACCAGTCGTCCAACTCCAAGGGGGGTCATTTCATTTTTCAACGCGCCAGGGGTCATTTCTCAACGCGCCAGGGGTCATTTCTCAACGCGCCAGGGCTGTTACTTCGTGTCTACATTTCGTGCGTGCAGCCGCTGCGTTCATTTTGCAACGCGCCATGGTTCTAACTTTCTGTTCCCCCGGTTTCTGGGTTTCTTGGTTTCTGGGTCGTTTCTGGAATTTGGTTTCTGAGTCTCTTGGTTTCTCGGTTTCTTGGTTTCTTGGTTTCTGGGTCTCTTGGTTTCTCGGTTTCTTGGTTTCTGGGTCTCTTGGTTTCTTGGTTTCTCGGTTTCTTGGCTTCTGCGTCTCTTGGTTTCTGGGTTTCTGGGTCTCTTGGTTTCTGCGTCTCTTGGTTTCTGGGTTTCTGGGTCTCTTGGTTTCTGCGTCTCTTGGTTTCTGGGTCTCTTGGTTTCTAGGCTTCTCGCTTTCTTGCTTTCGGAGTTTCTTGTTTGGGTTTTAAATGTGACCCCGTAGGTTTCCGCAGTATTTGTGTTGCTTCGTTTCCAGAGGTTCTTGGTTGGGGTTGTTAAGATCATTAGTTTCTACACTATGTAGCTTTGCGGAATAAACCATAAATACGCCGGAAATGAGTTGTAAATAAATCCTAAAGAAACTCTACACCAACCCAAAACCAATTCTGACACTAAACAAATCCCAAAGCAACCCTAAACCAACGCTAAATCAGACATAGACTAACTCTAAATAACCCAAAACTAACCCTAAATAAACTTTAAACCAACCCTAAATCAGACATGAACCCATCATAAATAAACACTATACCAATCCTAAATAAGCCTGAAACCAAACCTAAGCAAACTCTAAACCAATTCAATATAAACCCTTAGTCACCACCAAATGAACCAGAAACTGTTCCTCAATAGATTTTACACCAACCCTAAATAAACCCTAAAGCGACCTTAAATAAACCTTCAACCAACCACAGAAAACTTTAAACACACCCTAAATGCCAGTAACTAATGGAGGGTTAGTTTTTGTTTTTTTTCTTCCGTTTGTTTTCTGGATTTCTGGTTCCCAGTTTCTTTGCTTCTTTGCTTCTTTGCTTCTTTGCTTTTCCCTGCTTCTTTGCTTCTCCGCTTTTCCCTGCTGGTTTGCTTCTCTGCTTTTCTGCGTTTTTCTGCTTTTCTGCTTCTTTGCTTCTCTCCTTCTCCGCTTTTCTGCTTTTCCTTGCTTTTCTTCTTTTCCAGCTTCTTTGCTTCTCTGCTTTCTGCTTTTTTCTGCTTACCTGCTTCTCTGCTTTTCCCTGCTTTTCTTTTGTTTCTCATACCGTAAATAAACCCTAAGAAACATAATATAATACATAGACATAACCCCTAAATCAGCCCTAAATGGATCCTATACAAAACCCAATACAAAGAAAAACACTAAAGCAACTCTAAGTATACCCTAAGCATTCCCTAAATAAATCTGAAATTAATCCTAAATAAACCCTGAACCAGCCCTAAATAGATCCTAAACCAACCCGAAATATATGTTAAACCAAACCCAAATAAACCCCTCACCAACCCTAAATGGATGTAAACCTAGTAAACCAGGCCTAAAGAAATCCTAAACCAACGCTAAAATAAACTTTAAACCAACCCTGAGTAGGTCTTACACCAACTCTACACAGAACCTAAACCAAACCGAAATAAAACCTGAACCGACCCTAAATAGATCCTAAACCAACCCCAGATATATAGATGTTAAACCAAGCCTAACTAAACTTTACACCAACCCCAGATACATCTTAAGCCAGGCCTGAATAGCTCCCAAACCAATCGCAAACAAACCTTAAACCAACCCTAAATAGGTCCTAAACCAACTCTAGATAGATCCTGAACCAATCCTAAATAAACTTCAAACCAATCCTGAATAAACTCTTAACCAACCGTAATTGAAACTGTAAACCAACCCGAAACAATTTCAAACAACCTTACATGAAACTTTAAGCATTATTCCATATATCCATTCAAAAAATAAATAGCATATAAATGTAAAAAATTGTGTGTGCACCGAGATGTGTGTAAGAGTCCCAAAAGAGCTAGCATCCCTTCTTTTTTCGGCTACGTTGCGCAGAATCTTGGCGGCGGTGAGAATTCCGCGCTTGATTTTACGGAGTTGTGTTGAAAAATGACCGGTTTTTGGTGTTGGAAAATGACCGAATCTTGGTGTTTGAAAATGACCGTTTCTTGGTGTTGGAAAATGACCGGCATCCCAACAACCTTTTGGTGATGTCAAACAAACATACTTGCTCTTCCTGGCTTCGACTGGGCCTGATGTGCATTTCTAAGCAGTGCTCAACCTAAGGGAGCAAGACTGAACACTCTTCCTTGACATTTTGGGAGTATGGACTGGGGCCTCACTGCCTCACTCGGTTCTTTTGTACTCTGCCTCTTATCACTTGAATTCATTTGACCTGTGCCTTCAGGAATCTGAAGGTGGACATGAAAGCTTTGACGGCAGTGACGCTGGATGGTAGGAACATGTACAAACAGAATTTTAACTTTGCCTGTTCCAGCATGGCATGCTTGTGATATATCAATATCATCTCAAAGAGATGAAAACACAGTAGAAGATCAAATTGTCAAATTAAGATCGGTTGTCCAGTTGTGCAATTTAGAAGCTGTGGGGTTTCAGTGGATGGTTGCAAAGATCGTTTACCAAGTTGTGGAATCAGTTCCAAGTCTTTGAGAGTTAACTCACACACTAAAGTTGCCCATTGTTGGTGGGATTGGAGAAAGCACGACGATGAACCAGTGTTGTGAGAGTGTGACAATTGTTGTTGGTCATGCTCGATTTTTGCACCATCCACTGCAAGGGGGTTGTGATTTTACCTACTCTGCTTGAAAAAAAATCGCGACACGATTACACGATGTATCTGCTTCTGGCTGGCAGCCACTGATTGCCTGATTGCCTTTGTAACTTTGCACATGTACGGCGCCAGCATCAGCTAGCATGAGCACCGTTAGCATCCGTTAGCGCTATCCAAGATGCAAAGTTGTGCTCTGGGAGGCTAAGGGAATCCACTTTGCACAGCCCCGCAGCTTTGAGGCTGATATCAGCTGAGGAGTTCTATCTCGACTTGTTTTCTCGCGCCTTCTCTCCCGGTCCAACTTCACCTCAGTGATCCAGGCGAAAAGTCAAACGATGCCACCGAAAGGGATGAGCTGGGCAGATATGGTGCGAGGTGGAGCCAACGGTGGTGCAAAAGGCAGATCCACAGAAAGTCCGCCTTCAACTCCCGAAATGGGACCAGACAAAACAACGGCCCCCAGTGCGAGCAACGATCTCCAGTTTTCACGTGGGAGTGTTGGCTCAAGCGGTGCTGGTAGTTCTGAAACGGCAATGCACAGGCCAGAGACCAAGCCTGCAGATGAATCCAATGGAAATGCTTCAGTACTCAAAGGACCTGCACACTGGAAAGAACCTTGTCACAGAAAGGGAAACAAGGGCACATCAAAAGGATCAAAAGGGAAGCAGCCCACAAATCCTCGCGAAGTCCGGGTGCCCAAGACCTCAGGAAAAGGGAGCCCCCCTTCTAGTCCAGAGCCACAAGAAAGGGAGGAAGCCTGCGCACAAGAACCCGAGCCTGTGCATACACATCAAAGTGCTGGAGCAAAGGAGTCGCAGCCTTCCAGCAAGGCTTCAACTCCGAGGGAGGAGTCTGCACATCCCAGTGGTTCCTGCAGTGCGAGAAGCTCAGAACTCCCGAAGAAGCAAGAGCCGGAGCCCGCAGAGCGAGCAGAGCCCGCAGAGCCAGCAGATGAATCCAACGGAAAGACAGTACTGACTGGCTGGGCAAAATTATTTGAAGGAGGACCCAGTGCAGCAGACCCGGCTCCCAGAAAGGGAAACAAGGGCACATCAAAAGGATCAAAAGGGAAGCAGCCCACAAATCTTCGCGAAGTCCGGGTGCCCAAGACCTCAGGAAAAGGAAGCCCCCGTTCTAGTCCAGAAGAACCAGAAGAAAGGGAGGAAGCCTGCGCACAAGAACCTGAGCCTGCGAATGCCCATCAAAGTGCTGGAGCGGAGGAGTCGCAGCCTTCCAGCAAGGCTTCAACTCCGAGGGAGGAGTCGGCACATCCCAGTGGTTCCTGCAGTGCGAGGAGCTCAGAACTCCCGGAGACGCAAGAGGCGGAGCCCGCAGAGCCAGCAGAGCCCGCAGAGCCAGCAGAGCCGGCAGAGGCGGCAGAGGCGGCAGATGAATCCAAGGGAAAGACAATACTGACGGGCTGGGCAAAATTATTTGGAGGACCCAGTGCAGCAGGCCCGGCTCCCAGAAAGGGAAACAAGGGCACATCAAAAGGATCAAAAGGGAAGCAGCCCACAAATCCTCGCGAAGTCCGGGTGCCCAAGACCTCAGGAAAAGGAAGCCCCCGTTCTAGTCCAGAAGAACCAGAAGAAAGGGAGGAAGCCTGCGCACAAGAACCCGAGCCTGCGAATGCCCATCAAAGTGCTGGAGCGGAGGAGTCGCAGCCTTCCAGCAAGGCTTCAACTCCGAGGGAGGAGTCGGCACATCCCAGTGGTTCCTGCAGTGCGAGGAGCTCAGAACTCCCGAAGAAGCAAGAGCCGGAGCCCGTAGAGCCAGTCGAGCCAGCAGAGCCCGCCGAGCCAGCAGCGCCAGAAGATGAATCCAAGGGAAAGACAGTACTGACTGGCTGGGCAAAATTATTTGAAGGAGGACCCAGTGGAGCAGACCCAGCTCCCAAAAAGGGAAACAAAGGCACATCAAGAGGAACCGGTCAAGAAGTCCGAGTAAAGGGGACCGGAAAAGGAGGGCTTCCTTCAACTTTGGAGCCAGCGCCAAAGATCACGGAGGCAGCCAGTGCTTTGGCGGGAGGATGCAAGCCTGTGCATCCTTTTGTGAAGCATCCATTGGAGTCCCAGCCTTCCAGCAAGGCTGCGACTCAAAGGGACGATTCACCGCATGTCAGCGCTGATTCCAGCAGTGCGAGTAGTTCTGGACCACCAGAGCCAGCGAATGCGGAACAGGGAAAGATGGCCCTAGTTACAGGTTGGGGAAATCGAGAAGAAAATGAGGCTTCAAACCAAGCGGTGAACGGAAGCCAGCCTGCAGTTCCATTTGAGGATGGAACTGATTACACGGTTCCCAGGCTGACAAAAGCTGGAAGTGCTGATTTGGAGAGTTTTGAAGATGGAGATGGATCTGAGGATTTGTCCAACGAGCGGCTAGAGTTGGACACGTTCGACTATCGAACGTACTATATGAATGATCTTCGAAATCGAGATTCGGACACAGAGCCAACAATTTACGGTTCTGATTCGGAATCCTCTGATGAGGGTTTCTAATGGCTTCAAGCCTTTGGTCCGGAGAAGTTGGTACTGTGCTGTACCACAGACATGCTCAGAGTTTCACCTAGCGCGTGCAAAAAAGAACAGAGCTGAGAAGTGAAAAGAATGAGTTTACATGAGTTTACAATAGTTTAGAGTCAGCAAAGATACAGATTACAGACTGAGCAAAGACTAGCAAAGACGCATTTTCTCAGCTTTTCAGACACAATCTAATCGAGGTCTAGGTCTTGGACAGGAGTCCTGAATATGGCTCAAAAAGAAACGATAAGATGAAATAAGCATCAGCATCAGCATCAGCGTCATCACCATCACCACCACCACCATCATCATCATCATCATCATCATGATCATGATGTTCATCTTCATGTCCGTCTTCATTTTCATCTTGAGATAGCAAGTGCAAGCTGCCAAATCCATGAACGCTTTGATAGCACTGTTGCGGCCTTAGCAATTCCAACAATGGTTCGAAGAATGCCATTGTTTTGATTGTTTTAAGGGACATGCCAAGAAGGGGAGGGGATAAACACTGCCTTGGAAGTTCTCTAGCAAGAGTTGAGCGCTCAGTTTTGTTTGAATTAATACGTGAAAGTTTGTTGATCCCTGTGCAGTTGTTCTGCCTCCAGGATCTGCTTGGGACTGAACCCAAACCCTAGTGATTGCCAGATATTGCCAGGCCACCTGTCCAAGCCCATGCAAGGGCACTCCCAGCTTTGCGGGTACAGGCCCGTCACGTTAAACCGAATTCTGTCATGTACAATGAATTGACTTACAGTAGTCTATTGTTGTTGTTCTTGTCCTTCTTATTACCTTGTTCATCTTTACCTTAGCAAATTAAATGGTGGGCCGCCTGTCCTAAATCGTTGGCCATTTCCTGAGTAGTTCGCACAGCCAGGTGAAACGACGCGAAGCTTTCAGCGTCAGGCTCTGGTTGCGGATTTTCAAGAGTCTTGACACGAGGAACTGATGAGCATGCACTTCTGCACGTAGTTTTAAGATGTTTAAAGATGTTCGCTGCAACCCCTAGGTTTGCCCGCGGCCAATCCCGCATATCTTTTGACATGTTCAAATCCCTGCGCAGGGCTTAAGTCTTTTACTTTCCAAAACAACAAACAACAAAACCCTAAAACCTAAAACCCTGAAACCTAAGACCCTAAACCCTAAATTAAAACCCTAAATCCTGAAAACTTAAAGCCAAAATCACTGCGTATAGCCAGTGTTTTCATTCATCCTCTGGTGATAAGTATAATATCATATTGTTTGGATGTGTTGTTTGAGTGTGGGCGAACCAGGGGGTTGCGGGGTTTTAAGTATGTAAGTCTGATACGACTTGTGAGTGCTGAGATTGTAAAATGCTCAGCTGTCAGTGCGTGGCCCTCAAGCGAAACTGCAGGTGCCATGGTGCATGGAATTTGCAGCGACATGCCGCAGTTCGGGAGGTGAGCGTAGAGATGCACAAAGTACCGTGTCACAAGCTGTCCCATTGGATAAATAATAAAGTCATAGAGGGGAAGATTGTTTTTTTAACGCTTGCAACGTTGTTTTTCTTTGGCAAATGGCCATGGCAGGTTGGCAAGGTGGTTCAAGAAAACATGCCTCCATCTCGTTTTGTTCAACTACGAAGAGGCCGCGATGTGTCGGCTTGCACTTTAAAATGCCTCGAAATGATTCAAAATGTTGCTTGGTTTCTGCATTGTGCGAAGGTTGTGAGCAGCGTATCATAGTGTTCTGCTTACTTTGGATCACTAGCAAGAATATGCAATTGATAGAAATTGATAGAAATGGATACGAATAAATAGAAATTGGAAAGAAACGGACAGGAATTGAGTGAAATAAATAGAAATGGATAGACATGAATAGAAATGGATAGAAATTAATATTTATTTCTAGAAATGGACAGAAATGGATAGGAATAAATCGAAATGAACAGAAATGGATGGGAACGGATAGAAATGTAAAGATATCTTCAAGTGACCCCTCAAGATGCGACCCGTTCCATTACATATAAATCATTTTTTCTGCGGTTCAACATCTAATTTCGGCCTCATTTCCATAACATAGTGCGAAAGCTTTTTTTGCATATCCGGCCTGCTACTGCTAGGTAGTACAATGGTGGTATTCCATAGCATATAAGCCCAAAAAAGGATCCATTCTCTAAAAATATACCTGTACCCAACCATGACATAAACCATATTTTTATGGAATGGTTGGGTCAGGGTACCTACCCATCAATCAAGGGGGATGGAAAAATGAGGAATGGATAGGAATGAATAGAAATGGATAGACATGGATAGGAATCGATAGAAATAGAAAGAAAAGCATAGAAATGGATAGGCACGGATAGAAATGGATCCTGGATTCTCTCCACTCTCAAGATCGGAAGAGGTCAGAAAGCTGCCGCCGCGGCAGCCTTCCTTGCCTCTATTGCCGGGCTGCTCCACCTGGTGCTGAGAGCTCTCTCGCCACATGATGCCAGGCTTGCTCTTTGGGATGGGGCGGAGAATCCTTGTAACACCTATAACATATTCGCAACATAACTAACCAGGAACAAAACCTGTGAAAGCTGCTTCACACATACGCACATATATACGTATATATATATATGCATATGCAATGTAAAGCACATGTTTGTCGCCACATTGATGGAGGTCATGGTTGTTCGGACGACCCCGACACCAAGAGGCAGAAGGCCTCGTAGCCTTGTCAAACTTTCTTTCGGCGCATCCTATAGAGTCTGGGCAGCAGTGCCATTGCAGAGGGCAAGCAAGGCCACTCTGGCATAGTCCTAGATTCTAGATGATTCCAGATGTCTTTGATATTGTATTCTTTTATTTTGTTTACCTCATATCCTTGTCATTCCTTGTCTTAGATGCAGCCAAGGAGTTTCCTGGACTGCTTTGGGCCAGCAGTGCAGCGACAGGTGCCTGTGAGGCAGCTGCACGAGTTGGATGCAGTGGAAACTACCGGACCCTGCCACTGCCTGAGTCCACATCATCTACATGACATTAGAATACATTAGAATACATTAGATAGCAGTAGTCCAACCGAGAACTCCATGGAACTCCAACATCTACGCCAGTGTGGTATTGTTGAAACGTCTGGAAACGCTTTCACATCACAAATCTTGCTGAAAATGGTTCCTGCCAAGCCTCTCCATTTAGATACGTGTCGTTGATGCTGGCCGGGCTTTGCTACTTGTTCGATGAGTCCCTTGCTTGGAAGCTCAAAGTTGCTACACCAGACATGTGAGGAACAAGGTTTTATTTGTGTTTCAAAGGACATAATATGTATATGATATGTATAAGTACACTACAATATGTTTTGATTTCATGTGATACTTTATGAGATGATATGATACTTGTATGATTTGATAGGATGGGATGGGATATGATATAATGTAATATGTCAGTATGATAGTATGATGTGAACATAGATGTACTATACAATACGATACTGTCTACACTATTGATATAATATATGATACAGTATGATCACGAAAGCTAGCTGGCTAGCTGGAGTTGGATTTGCTTTGGCAATGAATTGGGGACAGCTGCGTCCGCGATGATCCATCATGTCGAACTGGTGTCGGGGTCCCACTGTTGGACGTGATTAATCAGGTCGAACTGTGACACACACTCCGTGGGCTCAAACCCTGCTGCGTCTATCTCGCTGCGGTTTCACTTGCGACCGCACGTTGGCATGCCCAAGCACAAACATATACAAGATAGTATTCACCGTGGTTGTTGTGATCGCAACGTCATGCAACCCATAATCCATATGATCTAATGTAATCTCATGTATTTACTGTACTGTTCTGTACTGTTGTCCTGTCCTGTAATCTAACGTAATGTTTTGTGATGAGAGAACATCCACTTGGAGTCTTGCACTCCTTTTCCCCAAGAGGTCTGCATGAAAACATGACCCAGTCCTGGCGAAGAATCAAGGCGCGCATCTTAAGATTCCCAAGCATCTCTTGCTTGACGGATGCATGCACGCAAGTTACCAATTCTAAGATTGGATTATTTGCGTAGTGGATATATAATGATATATGCGTGTGTAGCTGCACATAGACTATGTAGATGGATGGATGGATGGATGGATGGATGGATGGATGGAGAGGTAGATAGATAGATTTGTAGCTAGGCAGATAGATATACTTAGATATATTCATCACACACACACATATATACTCATATATATATATATACTATGTCACGGACCGGAACAAGGAAAGGCCGAGGGAAGGAGTTCAATCAGATGGTTGCAAAGTGGCTCAACCAAACTGCGTTCGGTTGGGGCACTTTGCAGTTGGTAAGTAGGGAACTAGGAGTACAGTACTGACGCTTGTATGCCAGGATGTCGAGGGGAGGGTTGTGGCGCGTCAGCAGCATCGAAGGATAGCTATTTTAAGTTTAAAGTTTGAACTCAACCCCGCTGAGTCCAGTCCTCAGGTTGCAGCTAGCATGCAGGCTGCTGTTTGTTGGTTTGGAAGGTTTTGGAATGGCTCGTTGCAATAAGACCATCGCAAACCACGATAATTGTATGGTGAAACAAAGCGAAGCTTTGTTGAAAGGCACAACTTGATACTCTGGGAACTGCAGCCTGCGGCTCTTTCGCCCCTGGCAGGTTTTGGGTAGTCAGCTCATTGACGCCATGGCAAGTTCATGGGTTGAGTTGATAACCACGACTGAGGCTGCGAAACCACCCGACGATGTGCTAAAAGAAGCAGTTCGGTTTCTCACAGATGTTGCCAAACTACAGGATCCTAATATGGCGAGTGGCGTCGCCGAAGCTGATTTGGAGAAACTTCAACTACCAGATTCCTTACCTGCTGCAGCAGGCTGCAGCGTTGACCCGCTGTCTTCTCAGAAGCGTGGAAGCCTTGCACAAGGCCAGGTTGGCCCAAGCGGCTACAAGCTCAGCACTCGCCTCGGCGCCAGTGTCTGCAAAAACCTTGGCTTCAGCTTTGGCGCCAGCAAAGGTGCCTGATGTAGCGGACATCTTGCAGAAGTCGGGCTTGTCAAAATTGGGTTTTCATATGCAGGCTAACCAATCCTTGTACACATCTCTGCAGTTGGCATCAGAAGAGGCCAAAGGTCAAAAGCGTGTGCCTTTCTCTTTTGTTGATTTGACTAGCAAAGAAGATTTGCCTTTGTGGCTGCCTGCAGACTACGTTGGTGGCAAGTTCACTTTGCGGGATGAAGAGGGCTCCAAATTGGCTGGGCATCACTCCATTGGCCTGGAGGTTCTTTCGGAATGTCCAACAATGGGTTGCAGCTTTTCTCAGGTATGCAATCACAGCAGTAGCAACTGATCAAATGACTTGGCCTGTGGTTTTTGGACATTTGGATGTGATTCTTCAGATCTGCAAGCCTTCCTCTATGATGACTTGCTGCGCCGTCAGTGGGCACGCAGAGCAGACAAACGTGACCCATCTCTGGACATTACAGCGGAATCCCAGAAGATTGACAAGGACATGCTCGAGCTGGCCCGGCAACGTTTGAGCCAGGTTCTCCAGGAAGTGGGCTTGCATGAGGGCATGGGAGCTGCCTCATCACTTCCAAGTAAGTGACCGTTCTTCTGCTGTATCAGGAGCAGATGTAGCAAGACAGCTTGCAGGGGCAGAGCAGGCTCAAAAGAGAGCCGAAGCTGCAAGCAAGAAGTTGGGCGATTTGCAAGCGCAACTCATGGCCCGCCCTGCGGTCAATCCAGGCGGTGGCAGCACCTCGCCTTCAGATGGCGGCATCAGCAAGCGACAGCAGATCCACGCCGGCGGCCGCAAGAAGACAAGCGGAAGCGCAAACGCTGACTTCCGGTACAGTCCGGGGACGGCGCTGAGGGGCGTTGTCAGAGGCGGCTTCCACTGCCTCCAGTTTTGAAGAAGCTTTCAGATATAGGGTTTTCAGTTGCTGATGATGCCCCAGATTTGTGCCATGGGGTTGTGGTGCCGCTGACGGCATGACGCCTTTGCAGCATGTCGTTAACTTTGCCATTTACGTCCAGGAGTCCAGCACCCAGCATGCGTGGTTGAAGTCTTGTCTCCGGACTTGGAGGCAGCCATTGATTTTGAGATTTCTTCTGCCCCAGAACAGATTGATGCCTTCCGCCGGCAACTGCTGCAGCAGTTCAGAGAACTTGGGCATCTTGTGCTCCTCTGGATTTGCAGCAGTTGGTGGTTCGCATTCATGGCCCGCTGTGAAACCTCTTGTGCCACTGTCTGCCAGTGGCTTCCTTGCTGCTTTGCAACAAGGTTTTCCATTGGCGGGATGGCTGCCACCATGTGAAGGATGTGCAACTACATGCTCAGCCAGTGGACAGCTTGCACACAAGCCGGCGGGAGTTCAACGAGCGCATTCTGAACTCCCTGGCCCCACAGTGGCGGCATCGGAGAACACACTGTGGCAGACCTTCAAGCTGCATGTCTCCTCCGCATTTACTGGTGCCGAGCGGTTTGTCAACCAAATCGCTGACTCGGCGCATATGGCATATGGGTGCGGGAAGGGCGCAGTTCTGGCTGGCCGACTCGTGTGGTGGACCATGAGACCGAGAGCAGCGTCAATGCAGCCGCAGCCTCAGCGGACAAGATTCATCATGATTCTTTGGACTCACTTGTGACTGTCATCCAAAAGTTCATGACAACACGAGTGACAGCAAGCATGTGGAAGCGTGATATTTCAAAAGCGTTTCGCCTTGCCAATTACCACGACCTTGCCTGGACAGTCTGGTAGGCTGAAGGGAAAATTTGGGTCGCCCAACACTTTGGCATGCCACCTGGAACAGTCAAAGGAGTCTATGCATCGCACCGGGTGGGTCGCATGATGTGGCTGATTTTGGTTCGTCTTTTCAAAGCTCCTGCATGCCGCTATATGTGGATGTATTTCGGCGCTTCTAGAAGTGGCGTTGCTTGGTCGGCCGCGCCAATACTGACAGTGATGCCCCGGCTCCTGGGCTTCCCGATTGACAGCTCGAAAGATGCAGATGCAACTTGGGACATGGTTGTGTTGGGCGCTTTGGTGAGCATTTCGTGGGCGGAGCAGAAAGTTCTCACCCGTGTCAGCAGCGACAAGGCAAAGAAGGACCAGTTTGTTTTGCAGCAAATGCTCGACTCCAACAGTCTCACACCTACCAACTCTTCCAAGATGGCCGGCCGCTTCAGTTTTTCTGCCACTGTGTCAGGCAATCGTGTGGGTCGGGCTTGTATAAAGCAGCCCTTTTATGCCCAAGCTCACAGTCCCTTGCCTGGGAGCACGCTGTCTCCATGGCTCCGACGAGCTGGAATTTGAGGGTGGGGAGTCGTACTGAAATGTCATATATGTCATTTTAAAATTCCATTTTTGCAATTATGTTTTCTTAATGATCAATATTCTTTCTTCATCATTCCATGTCATTGGCAAGCAGATGAAAATTAAATACTTGCGCTTAGCTCCGGAGGAGCGGAGGAGCTAAGCACCTGTCAGACTGAAGCAGCACATGTGTAGGGATGGCATCCCTCCAAAAATTGCGCTGCCGTCATCATACTTGGAGCTAAGCGCAAGTATTTTCTAACCAGTGCCCAAGGCTTGTTAATGTTTCTGCAGTACCTGGAGCGCGCTCCGGCCTCAGTGCGGACGTGTCCCGGTGCTTGCAGGCGGCAAGTGGTCACCTGGTCCGACGCAGCTGGAGATCGGCAGACTGAAGACACCGTCCGCCTTATGGAATTTATTGCTTGACAGAGGTGATCACCAGATCCAGTTTCAGGAGTTGCTAGGGTTCTTGCTTGCTTGGGGCATTTTTGGCCACATACTAAAAGAAGCTGCTTGGTTGGCATTTGTAGACAACAATTGCATTCTCCCGCCATCTTGAAAGGAGGCGGTGGGGGCCCAGAGTCCCACATGTGTGTAGGCAGGCTATGGCTTGAACTGGCGAAAGCAGGTATTTCTTTGCATGTTGCCAGGGTTGAGTCTGTAGCTAACATTGCAGATGGCCCTACACGTGAAGACATGTCAGCTTTGGCTTTCTTGAAGGCCGAGTTTGTGCCTCCACAACTCCCCCAGTGGGCCGCAGACTTTTTGGTCCGGGCCGTGAAAGAAAAGTTGCAGCGCCCAGCAGCGTTTGTACTCAACGCTTTTGACGTTGGCTGCGAGGATGTAGCTGTGTGAGTCCAAGGATTGTTTTCACTTTTGTTTTTGGGGGGCTGTGTGCAACGCATTCCATGAAGCTTGTCTTGAATTCCTTGCTGTATTTCACTTGGCTTGTCATGGAGCATACTACAATATGTACCCGTTTTTATTTTTTTGCGCTCCAGTGATTTTGCACTGTGACAGCCGGCTTGGCCGCAATTCTGGGTCAAAGGCAGGCTGGACCATGCCCCACCTTTCTGGTGATCTTGTAGCTGCCCAGCAATGGATGCAAGAGGTGGTCCGAGCTTGGCTGCTGAAAAATGTCACCATGATGCAATCGTCTGCATATAGATGCACATTCTGTTGCGCAAGCAGACCGATCAGACCGTACTTGGGCGACACTTGATGAAGCTTGGAAAATAGGAGGGAGCAACTTCTGATCTGTTGGAAAATGCAGCAAAGAAACGTGGACACGGTCATGGCAAAGTAGTCCAACCTTTTGCAGGCCTCAAGCCGCATGCTTTTGAGTCTGCAGTTGGCAAGATGACGGAATTCTTGCAGAACCATGAAGGTATGGCAGATGTTAGCGCTTGGCATTTGAAGCTGCGCTGGTGTTGGTCACGCACGGCTTTCAAGACCCAGCTCACTTGGCTGGAGCCAGTCCATCCGAGCTCCCCAAGCTTGTGGAAAGCCCGAAGGGAAAGGCTTTGTTGGCGTCACCAGTTGAAGATGAATTCCAGACATAGCCTGCTGAAAAGCCAGCATGCCAATTTCACAACATTTTGGGTGGCAATCCCGGCTTTGCAGTTAGAGGAGAAGCTAACTTCAGCGCAGCTGGAAAGCTCCTTGCCTTCACAACGGCTTCTTCAAATTGCTGCTGCGAATCTCAAGCTGCACACCCGAAAAGAGTCATTGAAAAGCGTGGCATCGGGCCTCAGACTGCGGCACGCCTTTGCATCCACAGTGCTGGGGTACGCTGAAGACAGGTCTTTGCTTCCCCATGTTGAAGGAGACATGTGCCGTTTCATTGCCATTTTCCAAAACCCAGGAACAGCCACGAATTACGTGGGGTACATCAAATGGGCTTGTCAAGGTTTTGCGTTGCTTTTAGATTGGCACGGCAGCGACTTGAAGATGACTTTGCAAGGGTTGAAGAAACAGTACCAGTCTGCCAGAGCTGGGGTTCTTCCGCGTAAGAGATTGATGTCCGAAGACTTGCTCCAGCGTCATGTTCAACCTGGTTGGAGATCTCTTGCTGCTAAGTTGGCAAGCTCTCCTTCGGGTTCAAAGTGAAGCCATCCCGTTGCAGATTGGCACACATGATTCTGTACATTGCTTGCCACGTAACAGGCATTCTGCAGTGTTTGTAGCTAGTGACGGCACTTTGTATTCGAGATTGCGCCAGCGTAAACATAGGCCTCAAGGCTCCTTGCTAGTTGGCCATGTTTGTGCACCCCCAAGCAACGCAATCGTTTGTGCATTGGGCACCGATTGGCGCCGCGGTGTGCCAACATGCCCGATGGCCATAAGATTTTCTAGTTTACAAGTGCTGCAGCTTTGACTCAATTTCGCAACATGCTGAAACTCTTTCAAGCCGGATTTTCAAGCCTTTTCCTTCAAATGCTTAAGGGCAGGAAAGGCAGCCTGCTTGGCCCGCGAGGAGGCCAGACGCAAACCTTTCCCTTCCTAATTCAAAGGCAATGACATGGGGAACATGTGCTGTCCTCTTGTCTCTGGTGGTTTTGTCACCCAAGCTTGCCATATGTACTTCTTGACCTTGACCCCAAATTCTTTTGTCATATTTGGAAATCTGGGTGTGACCGTGTGGTCTTGGCATGGCTGCTACTAGAGATGGATGTTGCATGTGTTCTCTGACAGCTAAAGAACCCATTGAACGAGTGCCTATGCCCTTCAGGGCAAAAAGGTGCCCGGTCGGCTGCTCAGTGCCTGACCTGCTCTAAGTGCAAGGAATATAGACCTCCGCATTTTGGCATCAGAAGCAGAGATTCAAAGTGAGAGTTGTGCTTCAGCAACTCAAGCTTCTCTTCACCCCTCCCCGACGGTGGGCTCAAACCCCGCTGCATCCATCCCGTTGGGCTTCATTTGCGACCAGGCATTCGCATGCCCGCGCACACACATATACAAGATGATATTCACCGTGAGTGTTGTGAATGCATGGTAATTGTCATGCAATGCAACGCAATGCAACGCAACGCAATGCAATGCAGCGTAATGCTTTACTCTAACCTAATGTGATGTTATCCCGTCTGATCTAATGTGTTGTAACAAAATGCAACGCACTGTATTAATCAGCCCGAATGTAATCCAATTTAATCCAACGCAATGCAATGTCTCTACTGTAATGTAATGAAATGTACTGAAATGTAATGAAAGAACAACCTCTCGGATTTCTGCACTCCTTTTCCTCAAGACGTCTGTGCAAAAACATGGTGCCGGGCATTTGAGGGGGCCCTCGCTGTTGTCACTTTTCAAACATTTTACAGGGGGGACCACAAAACGCTGAAAAACGAAACTTTAGCATCAGTCGCAATTTCATCATCATCACCATCATGAGAACGTACAGCAGCGAAGCATGACGTATGTCTGCAAGTGCATGAGAACGTACAGCAGCGTAGCATGACGTATGTGTGCAAGTGCATGAGAACGTACAGCAGCGTAGCATGACGTATGTGTGCAAGTGCATGAGAACGTACAGCAGCGTAGCATGACGTATGTCTGCAAGTGCATGAGAACGTACAGCGGCGTAGCATGACGTATGTGTGCAAGTGCATGAGAACGTACAGCAGCGTAGCATGACGTATGTGTGCAAGTGCATGAGAACGTACAGCAGCGTAGCACGACGTATGTGTGCAAGTGCATGAGAACGTACAGCAGCGTAGCATGACGTATAGTCTGCAAGTGCATGAGAACGTACAGCAGCGTAGCATGACGTATGTCTGCAAGTGCATGAGAACGTACAGCAGCGTAGCATGACGTATGTCTGCAAGTGCATGAGAACGCACAGCAGCGCAGCATGACGTATGTCTGCAAGTGCATGAGAACGTACAGCAGCGTAGCATGACGTATGTGTGCAAGTGCATGAGAACGTACAGCAGCGTAGCATGACGTATGTCTGCAAGTGCATGAGAACGTACAGCAGCGTAGCATGACGTATGTCTGCAAGTGCATGAGAACGTACAGCAGCGTAGCATGACGTATGTCTGCAAGTGCATCAGAACGTACAGCGAATGACGCTATTATCCCACCCCACCCCACCCCACCCCCCCACCCCCCTCGTCTATCATGTTGTTTTTTGTGTAATGTCAAAAAGTGACAACAGCGAGGGCCCCCTCAAATGCCCGGCACCAAAAACATGACCCAATCTTGGCGAGGAATGGAGATGCGCATCTTCAGATTCCCAAGCATTTTTTGATCGATGGATGCACCACAAGTGTTTTTTGGTGTAGTGGAGCACGGATTTGGCTCGACTTTCCCTTCCCAATTTTAAGTTCACAAAAGCTAAAAGGGTCGCGCCACATATTCTGTCAATGTACATCTCGCCTTGCCCAACTAGTTTTCGTCCCCTTCCCTTTGGCCTCAAGTACAATATGATGCAATATGATGCAACATGGTGTAATTAACAGAGATATGTACGTGTATGTGGACTAGAAAACGTTGATATAGATGAACAGCGGGGTACTTGACAAGTGATGTTTCGCATTTCCGGTTTCCGCAAGGTCAGCTGTAGCGCAGCAGATCAAGGCACTAGCTACTCCCGGACCCAGCAGCGCCGTTTTCTTTGCAGCCTATCTCGTGTCTGAGGCTCAAGGCGTTGCATTGGAGAGTATCTGGAAGTCACCACTTCAGAAAACGTGTTTAGAAAATGTCAAAGCAGCGATTAATTTTCATTGTTTTATCCATCACGACCATGTTCAAGTCACCCTGGGTCAAACCTGCAATTATCCAAATGTTTACGCGAAAAATCTAGAACATGTGGAGTATTTTGTAGGCACACACACACATTGTCAACTTCAATCGGTGAGTGTTTCATATTTCTTTTCTATTTCGGCATTGCATTTTTCTCGCTGTTTCAGCCTTCTGACATGTTCGCCACAGGCCCTTGCTCCTTGTGCTGTAAGGTACATGGGTTTGGACTGGCTAAGCAACGGTGTTAGCATCTCGGAGGCCAGGCTGGCCAATTGCAAAGCTGCCTTGTTGGTGTAGCATGGTGTTGCTGTAGAACAGCTGATGACCAGCTGTAGCACTGTCCAAGAGTCCAAGAAGAGGTCTTCGTTGGTCTGCGATCCACACGAAAGTTCGGTTTCCCTCGGCCGTGGAGACCTGCGAAATCGAGGCTAAACTGCCCTCCACTGCAAAACTATACCGCTATACAAGTGAAGACACATACTGTACATTACGGTACTAAATGCGGTACTAGATGCAGTACTAGATGTACTAGGTAGATTAGGTAGTCATTCATACAGTACAGGGGCAGTTGAAAACAAGAAGTCGTCCGAGGCTCCTACCCAAGCTCTACGGTATTGCAGAAGGAATGTGCTTGCTGGAGATGAGCAGGCTATTCTGGAGCCGAAATTGTCCAATCAACTGCAGTTGAGACCTTTGATTTGTAAGCGCCTGAATCTGGCTCAAAAGCCTAGCAATTTGCGGAACATGAATTGGTATCCAGATGTATCCAGTTTTTGAAATCTCTTTTTTTGATGCCAGTAGAGATTCCAGACAACTTAAGGATAAAGTTCCAACTTTGCCTCACAATAGTTTTGGCATGTTTTGGCAATGCGCCTTGCATGGTGTCCTTGGCGGTGAACATCGGTGAACTTGCTTATGGAGAGGCCATGGTTCATCATTGCAGTGAGACGCAAGCTGCACATGTAGTAACACTATTCAAACTTGTGACTGCTGAATTTGAGACAAGTCCTGGGCAATTAACATTCTACTGTCAGTATCCATCAATTATCAATTCATCAATGGCGTATTGATTTCGGGCAATTATTTGTTTGACCTTGCTAGTACTGGTAGCAGTGGAAACTGTGCGTTCCAGCCTTTTTCTAGATAGATACTGCATTATGTTGCATTCATTTTCATCGCAATTATTGTTGTTCAACATGTGATCGAAGGACAGATGCTATGCTCAGCGCTGGTGTTGTTCTCCTATCGTAGTAGATGGAAGATAGAACGACTTCCCATTCGCAATACGTGTGACGTTTGATGTCATAGCCCGGATCGTACCTGCTCCATTTGTCAACCTCGCTCACCCCACTTTGCTCTACGAACTGGTAGCAATCAGTAATGTTTTCTTCTGTGAAGACACATGTTATATGATCATACATGATCTACAGAGAAGGTAGTCCATTCATGTTAACACAAGTGTTCAACCGCTGCGGACACTGCATGCTGTACGTATTGTCGGCGCTTGTCATGAGGCAAGCTTTACATCCATGTTGGAAGCTTTTGTGGCTCATTTGCGAGTCATTGCTGCTATGCTTGCTATGTGCTGTTGATGATTTTGAACGTCGAACGCTTCTTGAAGTGCCACATCAACCATACGCCTTGAACAGATGATATACGGATGACATTCAAATCATTTCAAATCAAAGCTTCCCCGAACTAGTTTCAGTAGGGGGCAACAAGTGGAAATGGCAATCTTGGTCTCTAGATGTTCCATTTCCTGAGCCATGGGCTCTGGTGCAAGCGGCGCAAGCGTTGCAAGCCCGGCTATTACTGAGAAGCCGGCCAGTCTCAATCTCGGCCGGGGCTATGAGCGTGACTGTCAATTGTGCAACCAACAAAAGACGGGAAAGAGCAACTGACAGTCTAAACAAGTGTGCAACAGTTTTTCACTATCTTAGACTATCTTAAACAATTGTAAACTGGTTCTATCGCATATGATGCCCGACATTACAATACTATAGAATCAGATTTAATCAGTATATACTGCTCTATTCATTTGTGTTGTCCTGTGTCATGCGCTATCATGTCATTTGCTGTGTTGTATAGAATAGAAGACGTCGTAGTTTTGTCAAATGATATTCTTCTTACTGTGTTTGTTACATTGTATCATGTCAGGAGTCAAACTGCTGTTTGTGTCATTTTGTTTTGCTAAGTGCCGCGGCGTCACCGGCGACTAATCCAGTCCAAGCGCGCCACCAGAGCCAGCCCAGTGCCCTAGAGAGAAAGAAAGAGAGAAAGAAAGAGAGAAAGAAAGAGAGAAAGAGAGGAGACCTCAACCACCTGTCGGTCCACCAGTGGCTTCGCTCTGCCATCCGTGATTCACAACAACGAATCTCTCCTATAGGTTTCCTATTTCTGAAACTTCCGCCACCGCCTTGCGCGGTACTACTGGTAGACTAGACGAAGGAAGTTTAGAAGTCAAACATCCGACAATATGGACAGATGGAAAAGCAGAGGCGGGAAGAGTCAGAGAAGAGAAGAGAAGAAGAGAGAAGATCAGAGAAGAGAAAGCGTCCGAAGAAAGAAGATCCCGGCGCGGGAAAAGGTAGGAAAGTCGCGAAACATTGTGTTTTTCCAATGATTTGTGGCCCCGGAGGGTCGAAAAGTAGGCTCGCTAAAGCGGCGGGTGCGGAGCCAGTTGGCCAGATGAGAGATGAAAAATTGCACGCCGATTTGGCAGGAAGCACATTTCGAAGTCAAAATGTACAAAACACCTCAGCTTCCGAGAACTTTTAGAAGTTGCGACGTCGAAAAAGTGCACGCCCTTGTGGCACGAAGCACATGTCGAAGTAAAAATGTACAAAACACTTCAGCTCCGGAGCACTTTTAGAAGTTGCGATGTCGAACAAGTGCACGGTGTTGTGGCGCGAAGCACATCTCGAAGTCAAAATGTTAAAAACACCACATGCTCGGACCACTTTTTGACGTTCAGATGTCGTTTCGCGTGGCAGGCGCATGGGATTGTGCACCTTGTCAAAAGTGAGCAAAAACGTGAGGGTTTTGTAGCATGTTCAAAAACGATGGCAGGCGTGGGACATTTGAAGAGGATCTACAAAGATGCATTTTCCGTGGCAGGCGCAATACAAGAGACATGTTCATCAGAGCTGCTGGGAGGTCCGGGCGCTGATTTCCTGAGAGGGGTTGCATTTTGGCGCATCAGATCTTCAGGCTTGCTGGGATGACCTCGCGTGACAGGTGCAGCACTTCGTATGACCTGGCATCACTCCTCGTGGCAGGCACAGTACTTGAGACAGGTGGAGTGGAAAAATCGCACAACACATTGGTACGAGGCCGTCAGCTCTGCACTCAACTTTCCATTTTTGAAGGAAGTCTCGCAGAATTGCTTCGTTGTTGATGTTGTCAACTTTAAACATGAGGAAGTCTCGCAGAATTGCTTCGTTTTTGATGTTGTCAAATGCAAAAATTGAGGAAGTCTCGCAGAATAGCTTCGTTTTCAAGCTTGCAGATAGACAGATAGATAGATAGAGAGACAGACAGACAGACAGATAGACAGACAGATAGATAGATTCGGTAGATAGACAGAGAGATTGGATTTTTTCGGGTGCTATACAACAGGGACGATGTTTTTGGATTGTTGTAGGGTATCTTGTAACGAAGGGATTGTTGGGGTCGACTAAAAGATTGAAGTCATTTTTCAGTTTGGTAAATGAATAGAATGTTCGTACTTAGTTGCATCATTACATGAAGATGGTCTTGTGGTAAGAACTGGGTTGCGTTGATTTTTTTGTGATGGAAAATCTGTCATTTCTTGACCTTGGTGGTGGAAAATATGTGATTTCATGACCTTGGTGTAAACTTTAAGATGAATGTTTGTTTCATGTGGCCGTATGTTGTGTTTCAGTGGAAGCCATGCCAAACCATGTCTCACCTTTTTGAAGTTTTGTAAGTTACACCACGACTGAAACCAAGGGTTTGTTCGCTCTGTGTCTTGTCTGTGCAAGTGTTGAATTGACTGGGTGGAAAGATGAAGAACTAGATAAATAGATTGGTGAAATGCTTCGGTACTTAAATGGATAGAATGGGTAGCTGGATGGCCATATAGACAGCTAAATAGATGCACAGACAACAAGACACAGAGAGACAGGGAATTGGACAGATCTCGAAAGAGAGAAGTAGAGAGAAAGATAGACAGATGGACACATAGACAGAAATAGGATGATGGATGGACGGCTGCATAGACGGATAGAGAGCTAAACAGATGGATGGAAAGACAGGGAGATGGATAAGTTGGCAGACAGATAGATCAGTAGAGAGAAGGAAGGATAGATGTATGGATGGATAGACAGATAGACAAATGGATAATTCGACATTCCAACCACCTGGCGGGCCATCAGTGGATTGGCTCTGCCATCCGTGATTCGACATTCCCACCATCACCACCACCACCACTACTACTACAACTACACCTTACAACTACAACTCCACTACACTACAACTGCACTACACCACACTACATCCAACAGTTGTGGTGAGGTGACCACTGCAACCATTGCAACCATTCCAAAAAACACAACTCCAACCACCTGTCGGTCCATCAGTGGATTCGCTCTGTCATCCGTGATTCGCGACAACCAATCCCTCCTATAGGTTTCCTATTTTTGAAACTTCCGCCTTGCGCGGTACTACTGGTAACTACATCACAATTATATCCACATTATATTCTGCAGACAAATGTGCAGACTTAAACAGATAGATAACTTGCGATGCTCAGGTGGACATCCGCCAGTGAGCTCCAGCAATGGCTCCAGCGGCAACGCCATGCCAGTAGTTTTCTCAGAACGAAACAGCACTACTGAGTACGAAACATTGTTTGTTCAAGAAACTTTGTGCTCCGACTCAGTCGCCTACCTACAGCATCCTACAGTTTGATTCAAAAATTCCGACAATTTCCCACAAGGGATGCACAGCTCAGGAGGTGAGAGCCCGCCAGAAGCCAAAAAGATCTTTGGCCAGTGATTGCGATGTGTCTTGCATCAAATATTGGATCTTGCATCAAGTAGAAGTCAAACCAGTCGGTATATAGTTCTACACGTCCATCAATGTGCATCAATGTGCATCAATGTTCATCAATGTTCATCAATGTTCTACATATTCCACAACACTTTCACGATCCATTCTCAGCACGTGTCGGAATCAGGTCCCTGGTAGTCGACAGATCACAGTTCCCTGGCTTTCAATGGTGAAACTCATTGCCCAGCAATTGCCATTGTACGATCTGTATGCCACTGTGAAGATTGTACCTCTGACCTTTGGAGTCTGAGGCTTGCCTCACAAAGCGAGGAAAATATGGTCTGAATCGTGGCCTTGGAATTGGTGAAACTGTTTGTTTTTTTGCGCAAAGTGCTGCGAGTCCTTGCCGTGACTCAGACACCCACCCTGCAAGTCCCACATACCCTCGCGTGTCAAGTGGCAATGAGAGCAGCAAATGATCAGGATATGTTTGGATTCTCAACGTTTTTTTTCGTGTGATCTATTTGGAAAGGAATAATTTTGGAGTAAGCATCCCTACCACTCCTTCAATGAAGATGCTTGCTGCCTGCATTGAAGATGCTTATGATGCATGGGCATCAAAGTGCTGGTGACAA